AAAAAGGGTCTAAAGTGAGTGGTCGAGGATTTTTGAAGATACGTATTAGAGGCGGGTTGTTCCCAGGGAAGTTATCTCAAACCTGCAGCTCGAAAAAGTCAAAAATGAACGCACCAAGATTCTTTATCCTTTCTTGTCCACATTTCTTTCAGACTTCTCCTTCATCCTCTTCCCCTGTTTCTCAAGTACTTTTGATGTTTAATCTTGTTCTAACTCCATGGATGTCAGATTCCAGCATAGAAAGTTGATGTCCAACACAGTCATCATTGTAACCTCATCAAATGCCTGCGCTATATCATGTAATAATTCGTCCTGTTCCTCACCAAATTGTTGGGAACCCCCGCCTTCCAATGATCTTCCCAGTGGACCCAAAATGCTCCTCATCTTAACCTTTACCGTTCTCGCCACCACTTTCCTTGCTCTCTGTTGCTACATCGTCTATGTGAAGTACTACTTGCGTGGTTCAAGAGGGGGAGCACCACCACAGACGACAGGGGTACGGTCAATCCGTGATGATTTTGCTGATGAAGATCGGGGGTCCGTGCTTGATCATCCTATATGGTACATCCGCACGGTGGGGTTGCAGCCGTCGGTGATCAGTTCGATTGCGGTGTTTAAGTATAAGAAAGGCGATGGGCTTGTGGAAGGAACAGAGTGCTCTGTTTGCCTGAGTGAGTTTCAGGAAGATGAGAACTTGAGGCTTCTGCCGAAGTGTAACCATGCTTTTCATCTCCCCTGTATTGATACTTGGTTTAGATCACACACCAACTGTCCCTTGTGTCGCGCTCCGATTGTCTCGAACACGGCCGCATCATCGTTGCCGGAGGTGAATGGTGAGGAATCAATTGCCGTAGAAGAATCCCGGATGGGGGTTTTGGAGGAAAGTGAGGTATCCGAGGGAGAGCCGGTGGTTGAGAGCTCTGAGGTGAGGATTGGAATAGACGAGGAAGAGGAAACACCTGTTCAAGATACAGAGCAGGGGATTCAACCGATGAGGAGATCAGTTTCCTTGGATTCATTGGCAGCGTCGAAGATCAGCCGGGCAATCAGCAATTCCGAGAATCAATCGGCAAAATATAAAGAATCTAGAGTGGTGATTGTTCCGAGAAGACTTGGAGGAAGCCGAGGGTTTCTAAGATTTATGGGAAGTTCTTCCTTTGGAAGGACTTTGCAAAGTGGCCCTGTTGTAATGAAGAGGTCGTCTTCTTGCAATGAGAAGTTCTCTTTGCCAAGATGTGGGAAGAATCGGAACACAGATCTTCCTGTCCGAAGCTTTTGATCTTGTCCAAGGTTTGTAATTAGGAGTGAGACATCTGAAAACTGCGTTGTTTTAGGAAGTTTCAACAAGATGAGAGTTCTGTATAGGATGTTTTCTTTAAAATGTACTTTAGATAAAGCAATATCAATTACATTTACAACAATCAAAGTTAAATGATGATTCAGAAACAAAAGGATCATGTTTAGGATGAATTTGGAATTTTACCTTTTAATTGCAAAGGATTTTAGCTCTTATCTATTGCAGGGATTAGAACTCCAGATTCAGAATCCATAATGTTAAGTTAACCAATAACGACTCGGTTTAGTTCCTGTTGGTAAGAATTGGGAAGCGTTATGTCGGTGAAGTTTTAGTTTTCCAAGTAAAATCTTCAATCTTATATTCTTTATAAATGGAGTACGTAGGGAACTGGCATGCCAATTTTTCTGATTTTGAGCAAGCCTTTGAAATGTATGGAATTCAGATGTAAGATGAAAACTAGAGACATTTCCTGGTTTACCAGATAAGGATGTCCAGAGTTATCAGGACCCAGTTTTCTTGTCATTGTGTGGCTGATTTTCTCCAGCAAGTGTCAAAAGTCAAAAACCAGAAAGGTCCAGAATTCCTTGTCATGCCTTCTATATTCTTTCATTTTGGTCACCAAGAATGTCCAGCCTATATTTTTCATTCCAGAACTTTGGCTTGGCTGACAAGTTAATTTACTCTCCATCCGACCAAGTATCAACTCCTTGAAAGGCTACAAGGAAGCAATTTTGGTAATAATACCTAGTTTAATGCCTGTTAATCCCAGTCTAACTCAATAATCCAGTGATCCATTTTAGCCTGATCTGAGCATGGAAGCTGTAGAATTGGAGTCATTGTCTCTTTACAGTCACACAACTTACAACTATAGCAAGTCGTCTGCCTAGACAACTTGTTGATATTTTCCATTTCAGACAACTTCCTCTGCTTAGACGTGTGGCACTGTCTGTGGCTATGGCTTCAAGAACTTGTCTTGAGTCTTTGACAATATAATCCAGTTTCGTCTTTCTTTTTTGGTGTCTCAATCTCCATTGCTGCAACCAGCACTTTGTAGATTTGGCTTCATCATCAATACCATCTGCAGCATCATCTATAAGATTACAAGCGGTTGCCACGGTAAAGAAAGATAGAATGAAAAGCCTGGAAGAAGGTGGCATCATGCAGAAAGCAAAAGCTGAAGATCTTTACTAAAAACTTGAGATACGAAGTTCTTGTGTGGGGAAAATCATGATTAGTCCTCAACTGGCCTGGCACTTACAGCAGCATAAATAATAATGGGCATTGATACAGGTAACAACTTTTGATTATCCTCATTTATTCCTCTCTTGTACGTAATTGGTTCAAATCTTCTGCGGCCATAAGTCTTTGAGTTGACAAAACAAGCATATAGTTTAATTTGAAGCTAACCCTGTTTTAATGAGAGCATCTACCTTTGCATCCATATACCAAATTCCAAAAGCTATAGAGATGAGAATTACGTGTGCTACTGCATCCTAACGTGTTATCTCAGCGGCCCATTTAACTTGTCAATTATTAACCTTAGATTCTCCCCTCACTGCTTGGCTGCTCGCTTTATTATTATTTTTTTATATTAACATTTTTGTATCCGGTAAATATTTTAATTAATTTGGAATCAAGTTGTGTTAAATCTCATTTGAGGAGAAACTCTTCCAGTGCCTATTTCTTTATTTACAAAACTTGAACTCGAGATCTTATTTAAAGGGAATCGAACTCTTTTCATTTAAATCAACAAGTTATTGGTGCTCGTTCTATTTTAAAATTATTGTCATCGTCAATTTTTAAAAATTTTGAGGAAAATGATACAAAGAAAACTTAGAGGACTAAATTTCATTTTTCGGGTAAAACTTAAAAGATTGATAGGAGTAGATATCACGACGATATTGTTTTAAAAGACTGATCTCACCAATTGGACTAGTCATTTTGTATTTTTATTTTATTTGGGGTTATATAATAAAAAATAATTATTTTTTATCTTTTAATCACCTCAGGTATGTTAAAAAAATTATTATTAAATTATTTAAGTTTTAGTTATAATCATTTTATATTATGATAGATAAATTCATTATTTTTCTCACTTTAACCTTATTATTATTGCTTAATTTTAATTATTAACTTTATCATCAAAATCTTTTCTTTATATTTATAGGTAAAATCATATACTGTATTTAAATTTTTAATTCGAGAAAAAAATTCAAAAAATCACAATTATAATCAAAGGGAAAGAATGTTGATTAATAAACCTATTATCCATTATAAAAAATACAGTGTTTGAAACTTTAAAAGCTCAGAGGGACCGAGGAAAAGGGAGAAAAAGAAGAAGAAGAAGAAGCAGCATTACGGTGTTACAAACATGCGAGTCACTTACGTTCTCTAAAGATTAAAGAAGGGACAAGGTGGTACCAGGAAAACTTGCCTAAACGAGTTTTCAGTACCTTTTACATTTTATTTATTTATTATTATTTAACTTTAAATTACACATGAAGAGATAATTATATTTTATCCCTTAACACATATCATTCATATACTATGCAACTTAAAGTTAATATCCCTAACTTAAAAAAAAAAAAATTTATTATTAAATTATTTAGATAATTAACTCTACATTTTATGTACTAATACTACTAGTTCATAGTGGTAAATATTTGTGACTCCGATATATAATTGAGACGAGGGGATCAGTTCGATCCAGGAGGAGACCCAATTGAGTTTCCAAATCCAGGAATGACGGTCCCAACATCACCAGCTACGCTCCCAACAACACCAGCTACGCTCCCAACAACACCAGCTACGCCACCAACTGCGCTACCAACAGCGCTACCAACCTCACCAACCAATCCACCGACAGCATCACCCAAGCCATTAGCGCTAAGCATCCTGTTTGAAACTAAACGAGCAGTTGTGATGGAAAAATTATTGGAGAATAACAGCACGACAAGGAAAGTTAAGAGGAAAAACTTCAAAGAAGGTGCCATTATGCAAAAGGAAAAGCTCAAGATTTTTACTTGAAACTGGAGAATATGTAGTTGTGTGAGGAAAATCAAGGGTAGTTCTTAGGTACTTATAGCAGAAGAAATAATAACGGGCATTGATGCAAGTAAAGACTTCTGATTGTTCTTATTCATTCCCTCTCGCACTCCAAAACGTGCCATTATCATGTTTAGGATGAATTTATAATTATATCTTTTGATAACCAAGGATTTTAGATATTAGTTAATATATGGATTTGAATTCTAGATTTAGAATTCAAAATGTTAAGTTAATAAGTATTAATTCACTTTGGTTGGTATATGAGAATTGAGAAGTATTATGCTGGTGAAATTTTAGTCCGTCAAAAGAACACATCCAATTGCAAGTAAATTCTTATAAAAAGCTTAGGATTTCTAATTAAAATTGTTTGCTTTGAAAGAAGTGGAATAAAAGGGAAGAGAAATTTATTTGATCCAATTAAATCAAGACATTAGTTAATAGTCTTAATATATTATCGGACGAAAAATGTTTTTTTTATTCTCTTCCCTTCCCTTCTTTCATATCTCTTACCTTCTTTTATTTAGATAAATTTAAAATTAATTAAAAAATTAAAAGTAAAAATTAAAATAAAGGAAACCATTTTTCTCCCTTTTTCTCCAATTTTTTTATAACCAAATAAATATATAAAAATATATATAGGCTCTCCCTTATCCTATGTTTCTCTCAAATCAAGATTAAATTTACTGGGTATATATATCTAACAAGCGAAATAATGGGGCTTGTTAATTACAGTTTGAAACCTTTTAAGTTTTGACTGTACTTCACATCAAGAGGAAAAAAAAAAAACAGAAAAAGAAAAATAAAATTTAACTTTACTTTTTTATCAACTCATTGTTTGATGGGTAACTCATTCCCACACAATCTTTGTCTCGTAACAATTTCTCCTAATCCCAAGTTAAAACAATAGTTATGACATATTCTTTTAGACTTTTCTTTTTTAATTTTTGACCAAAAAAAAAAAAAACATGACTAATAAATCAATATTCGTTTAAGTATCGATCAATAAATTGATTTGAGAATTATGTACTGTGCTTCAACTTATTTTTTGTAGAAAAAACATAATCATTTAGACTATACGAAGGAGTGTGACATATTCTTTTAGACTTTAAATTATAAATTAACACCTATCAACTTATTTTATATTATATAATTTTTTTAACTTTATTTTACATCACGTAATTATTTCAAGAGACTTTGTAATGGGATAAAATTCAACGTGTATCAATTCTAATTAATGTAATCAATGCTTAGGTCCA